ACATATTTCTTACCACAAATATTACAATATATGAGATAAATGACATTTTTGGTGAGGCAATTAATTGATTGCCTTATCCGAAATATGTGGTTTGTTTGGTTGCTCTTGAATGATTGTGTAGCATCAAGCAAGGAGCATGTTTTGCATGATGAACCACAAAGATGACTACCCAAATTATGGCTGCCGCAAGAGTTAATTTGCCTCTTGAATTTAGATCGCACTAATATATCACGAAGCCACGGCTCCCCCCCCCCCCCCTTTTGTACACAGTGTTAAAATTTTAAATCTTATTCTTGAGCCAATACAAATTCTTTCCTGGGATCACACAAAATGAATACTTCTAACATGTAAATATGCATCAGTACACGTTATATATAGGCCTAATAGAACACATAGGCCTAAGCGCGATTTAAACAAATCTTAAATCCATAAATCTCAGGCCAGGTCTTTTAGAATAGAAATGCGATACTCTGGTTCAATTTCGTTTTTATCCTTTTGCAAGTTTCTTTAAATGTTTGTTTAATAATACTACTACTAATAGTAATAATAATAATAACAATGATGATGATGACGATAGTAATACTTGATATTAATATTAACAATAAAAAGTGAAGAAAATTGTAAGATGTGAGAGGGGACGGGGAAAGCCCTCAGTAGTTGAAGAATTCTAGCATGTAAAAAGTTTATCATCTTAATAGTATTTAATGCAAGCTAGTTTGGTTAATCACGGACTTTGCTTTAAAGGGGAAAAAGGAATTTGCGTCAATGGTGGGGGTGCCAGGGGCTCTCCCTCCGATATCTAGGAGCACAATTTGTGGGGGGGGGAACCTCTATAATTGATTAAGAAGCTTTTTTTTTTCAAATCCCAAATCGTTGGAGTTTCCAGGTGATTCGCTCTTAAGACCCCCTCTGAGTGGTGCTTGGCCGTTTCTGTCCCCGCCCATTTTGCCGTCTGGGAAATCGGCCTTTCGATTGGGGACATCGCCCCTTCCTCCTGTCAAGGACATCGGCACCTGTCGGGGACATCAGATCCACAGTCGTGGTGCTGGTATTTGCTCGACGGGGGTTTGATGAGGAATAGAGGAGGAAGGGGATGGGTGCGATGCCACCGGCATTTGGCCGATGTCCCCGCCCGACAGGTGTCGATGTTCCTGATAGAAAGGCCGATTTCGCGTCAATTGTGGTTGGGAGGAGGGTGTCAAGGGTTCTCTCTCTCCCATGTCTGGTAGCACAATCGAGGAGAAAAAATTCTCTAAAATGGATTAAATAAGCCTTTCAAATCCCTAATTGTGGGAATTTCCATGTGTTCCGCTCTTTAGACCAACCTCTGAGTAGTGCTTGGCCGTTCCTGTCCCCGTCCAATTTGCCGTCGGGAAAATTGGCCTTTCCATCGGGGACATCACCTCTTTCCCCGTCAGGGACATCGGCACCTGTCAGGGACATCGGCCATAGGTCGGTGACATCGCACCCACCCCCTTTCTTCTCTGGTTTGGAACATCAAACCCCCGTCGAGCAATACCAGCACCACGACTGTGGATTCGGCTGAAACATAAATCCGCTTTATCCCAGGTAAAGCTCGGTTTCCATAGAATCGCTCACCCTATCGGTGACAATCGCCGACAGTTGTCGGGAATGGGTTTTTGCTGGACTAAAGGTCGATATCTCTGATGGAAAGGCTAATCTTCTTGGCGGAAGCCCAAGTGGGTGGGGCTAGTGGCAGCCAAGAACCCCAGTGGCAGATCCGGGAATTTGAAATAGTGGCGATTCAGGGTGTGACTTACACAGATGGAGAGCCTAGACCATACCCAGCCCCACCATGATTGATGGGGCTGGATGATTACTCTACTTCTAGATGGCCGGAAATGGCTCACCCAGACAAGTATAATGTGGATTTTTTAAACGTTAAATAATTTATGTTGGGTGGGGAGGAGGCGATGGCCGGCTGGGCCTCTTTGAATCCAGAACTGAACCCGGCAGGGGTAGGGCGAAACTGCTGAAACTCTGACTATTTAGGGATTCCAGAGCTACATTTTCTGCAAAACTTACATAGGTTTTTCTTCTTCCCGACGGGGTAGGGGCAGGGACGTAGGCAGGATTTTGAAAGGGGGGAGCTGTTATGCGAATTATGTATGGCCCGGCGGTGTCAAGGGGGGGGGGGGCGAATCCCTCTGTGAAGTAGCGCATTCCGAACGTTCTTAGGATTGTTTGAGAGGATAATGTGAAAATTGCAATAGATGCATTATAAATAAGCGCAAAAATAATTATATAATAAATCAACAGTGGCTGTCTCTTATACACATCTCATGTTTTGCATGATGAACCACAAAGATGACTACC